CGCTGAGGGGCGTGGCAGAGATGGGCGTGGCAAAGATGGGCGGGGCCGGGCGGGGCGTGAAACGGACCCAAAGATGGGCGGGGCCGGGCGGGGCGTGAAACGGACCCAAAGCCGTCCCGAAAGCGACCCCAAGCCGACCCCAAGCCGACGTGCTGGCAATGGAATGGTTCTGTGGCAAAAAAACCAACCAAACAAACAAACAAAAAACCAAACAAAAAACCATTTTAAAAATTGAAGGAGTTCTGCTGTATGTCTCTAAAATTAATTTAGCGCTTTCTGAATAAATTACATCCAGCGTCCAGTTTAACTTTTCCTCCAGTGTCCCGAACCATTAAAGGAATGTTCAGATGTATCCACAGAGAGCAGAACTTCTGGAACATCTGCAGAAAGGATGTGCAGAAAGCAAGGCAGAGAGTGAGATTTTTCCAAAGTTCACAAACAGCTGCTTTCTAGATATTATAAGTGTCTGAAATTAAAAACCTCATTGATTTCAAAAAAAAGTGCCATTTGTTCAAAATATTAAATATTAATTATTTGACACCCTTTCTCTTGCAGGAAAATGAACCCAGGGTCCCCTGTGTCAAACCAGACCTGCATGTCTGCACTGTCCCTCCTAATTATTGAAAAATTACTGTTCTCCATCAAGGTGTTCTTCAGATGAACAACAAAAACGGGATGGGTGGGCAAAGCTACTGGGCAATGTCTACTTTTTCCTCCAATGCTCAAAAACACATGCCAATAGGAGAAAACAAAAACAGGGAAGAAATCCAAACCCCAGCCTCTCTCTTGGTTGCGCCAATCTTGCAGAAAAAAGCCACCAGACCAGGCAGGACCATCCTTCAGGTAAACACCCAGAGAACCTGTGCTCTGCACGCTCATCTCCCCTCCTTTCAGCCCTTGGGTAACTGAAATCCCCTGTTCTTGTGCACCATTTAAAGCTGGGAAACTGTCTGAGAGACGGAATATCCTGCTGCCAGATGCTCTTTTTTCATTCTAACACAGTTGTTTTTCTCTTCACTTGATAAAGTTAAAATAAACAGTCTCTGGGGTGAATTACAGGCTTCAAAATTGGATTGGCATGTAAACTGTGGAGCAGTTGGTGGTGGGGAGTCTGGGGAAAAGGAAACAGCAGGTTTTAGCTAGAGGGGACAACAGCTTTATTTCCCTTTTGGTCCTTGACAACCAAGCAGATGTCCCACAATTATTGTTTTACCTTCCAGGAGCAGAGAGCCTCTCCCACCCTGCAGGTACGCAGGGCTGGCCCTTGCAGATGTGCAGGTGCCTCTGCTCCCTGCTCCAGAGGCAGCCTGTGCACCACCAGCTCCATCTAGCGCAGGGAAACGCCTGCCTCAGGCTCTCACACAGCCCTGCCTCTCCCTCAGCTGCCTGGGATGCCTGTTTCCAGTGCCACTGGTGGAGATACAGCTGATGGTGTGAAGGATAAAATCTTCTCTGATGGTCTGCCATGGGCTTTTCCACACCGGCTGTATTTGTATAGCAAAGTATTGTGCACAGCAAAGCTGGTGTGCGCTGCAGCCAGCAGTGTCTGCTGATGGCCTCCTGAGCCCCTTGGTGTCCCTGAGGCATGGAGGGTGACAGGAGGCGTCCCTGGGCACCCCCTCTGTGCAGGGCTGGAGGATGCTGCTGTTCTGACGAGCTGGGCAAGTTCAAAAGTCCATAAGAAGAATAAACACTGGGACGGAGAGTGCCAGGTTCAGTTTTTAATTCTCTGGTCCCATCTTTAAAGAAATGCTTGTTACACATCTGAGAGCACTCAGAGGGCTGCACACCTCAGAACTCACCCCAGCTTGTTGCAATGAACTGCACCCATGCCTGAAAAATGCAAATTTTTCCCTTTATTTTTTTTAAGCAGTCCTGAAATCTGTTTCTAGCCTTAACAAAGCTGCATTCCAGGTTTGTCATCCTACAAGACATCTGACAGGGAAGTTAAATAGCGCCCCAGACACGTTTTGTAAAACTTGCTTGGGATGGGAGAATGTTTGGTGCTATCTCAGCAGGTGCTGAGCTCTGTCTGTGTGTCATGTACAGACTCCCAGGTATTTTGGTGCCTGCACTGACAACCTGCCTGCTTTCCCACTTTTGTGTTCTGTGCTTTCTCAAAGTGTGAATGACAGATGACATCTTGAATTCTTGGACCTTTTGAAGACACATTGGAATGTTTAACAGGATCTTCAGTGTGGTTCTCCTCCACGAAGCTTGCACCTGCTCTTGCAGTGTGCGAGGCAAGCAGGCTGTTGCAGGGTGACTACAGGAAATCACCAGCAGTTTTTTGCTCTCTAGAATGAAGGAGTTAGGAAAAGCCAAGTCTTACGGGGTGAGGCTGGCCTCTGCACCACCAGCCCTGCCCAGGACAGGTTTTCCTTAGAGCTGGTCAGAGGCAAAGCAAACTGGCCCTGAGGGAGAGCCCTGGTGGTGCTCCTGGCCCTCACCAGGCTGTGCCTGGTGCCCGTGCCAGCACACTCCTGGCTGCTGTGTGTTCCTGACCCCCAAACAGCAGCTCCTGCAATGTCCCAAGGTGAACTTGTGTCAGGAGAGGAGCCAGGCAGGGAGAGAAGGGCTGAACTGCAGAATGAATGCACCATGTGTCTCTCCTGCTCCAAACCGCTCTAATTTCAAACATCTCGCCTCAACAACGATCTGTTAAAGAGCTGCAAGCCAAGGATCTGTCAGAAGAATTTCAATACAATTCTGACAGCATCAGAACTAGACAGACTCAAACTTTACCAACCTGTGGTTAAACCAAAGCTAATGGAGCGAGTGTTTGCCCAGGCAGGACAGAAGGTGAGATTACTGGGATCCTCTTCATTGACACTGAAACTCCCTAAAGCAGACTTGTTTGACATGTTTAAATTCCTTAGAGGAAATGGAGTGTTGATTTCAGTCCAAGAGGATGCCCTCATTGCTCTGAAACTGAAAGAAGAGGTTGGAGCCGGAGCAGACAAGAGGTGAGATGTGAAGGAAGCTGCACAGAGCTCCTGAAGAGCCGTTTTCTGAATGGGAGCAGCTCCTGGCAGGGGTGTGGATGTGAGAGCAGACTGTCTCCCTCCATGGGACAGGATGCCAGCAAAAGGCACCTGAGGGGGGTTCCCAGTCCAGGTTGGGAATGCTCACCTGGGTTACCTGAGCTCCAAAGCCATGGAGACCCCGGGCTCAGTGGGACACAGCATGCTTCCCCTTGCTCAGCATCTCTGCTCCTGTAAAGTGGTGTGGAACTGCTTCTGCCAGTTGTTTGTGGACCCTCCTGCCTGGTGGCTGGCGTGATGAAAGCCAGCAGAGATGGTTTCTCTGTGCCAGGCTCCTGCAGAGGAGGCTGAGCCATCTGCTGACTGGTCTGTTGTGTTTCTGGTGGCTGCAGCTCTGCTGTTGTGCAGCAGCCACGTATGGAAAGCTTTAGCCTTTCATGTGAAAAACGGGAAAGACAGATGCAATCTGGGGCTGATATTGCTCTTGTATGTTTTCTCTCATCTCTCAGGAGCTCTCTTGCTGCTGCCTTTCCTCACTCTGAGCACCAGAGCTCCCCTTTTTGCTCAATAAACAGGCACAGCCACTGTCCCCCAAGTCCAGATCCCTGCTGAGGGTGTTCCTCAGGGCCTCCAGAGGGCAGGAACGTCTCCCCACGATGGCTGTGACCTCAGCCTGTGCCCACTGACACCTCACAGAAATGACTGTTTGCAGAAGTTTTCCTAGCTGTCATTCCAGGTTCAAGCAGATGCACAGTGGGTGTCTGGTTAAACCAGCAAAACCCCTTCATTAGAAAAGTATGGAAAAAAGGTATCAGAAAGATTTAGTGTTTCAAAGAGAGTCAGAACCAAATGCCCTGTTTTGCTGGTAGGAGGATGGGAGATTTAGGGGTAGCTAGCTTGAGGAAAAAAGCAACACCAAAAAGATGAGTAACACAGGCAGCTCCTGTTTTTTCTGTTAAGTTTCTGGGCTACACAGATTTGTAAATGATGGCACTAAAAAAGCAGCCCGAGCTCCCTGAAAGGCTCTGGAATATCAGCAGCTGATGTCCCACAGAGCAGGGACACAATTGGGTCTGTTCCTCCAGACAATACACCTGTCACTGGGAACAGAGAGCTGGCAATTAACGGGGAGGCTCTGTGCTGGGCTTTCATCCCACACAATGGCAAGGGCCTGCAAGAGTGAGATTAAGGCTGGCATGTCCACATGAGATTGCTGAAACAAACCTCGCTGAGACTTGCGGGCATTTGAGAAGCAAAAACAAGAAAATAAAACCCTGGTTAAATCTAACTCTACAAACAAGTTAGAAAGCAAAATAGCACTGGAACAGGATCCTTTGCATTAGAAATGTGAGTGTGGGGTTGCAGAGGAAACCTTCTTCTCAGCTGAGATGTCTTGTAGTTGTCAGTGGATCACAGGAGATGAAACCAAGGCAGGTTCTGCACTCAAGGGC